ACTGATTTTGACGGGAGTTTGTGGGCATAAGAACCTTGGGATTTGTCTCAACATATTTAATTGGACTTTAAGTGTGAGCTCTAGGAATAAGAGGCTGTTGTTAGCATGAACTTAAATAATGCTAATACAGGGTGCAATTAAACGACTACAAAGAATGGGTACATGAGTTGCCTTGCCTGCCTGCCTCTTAGGTGGCCAGACTGCGTTAAGAAGCTTTAATTTTGTGGCTTCTTTGATACTTTGAGCAAAGTCCTGCCCTCAGACATGCACACACAACTTCCATTGAATTAATACACCTCATGTTTATCTCTCAGAGCTACATCTAACCCTTTCTCCAGTCACAGACTCTTCTGACAGCTTGGTGAGTGTAACATGATTCATCCTCCCCTCCTCTTTCTCTTCCCTTGACTAGACACTAACAAACATAACAGAACTTGAGACAAGCGAGAGAGGCCCCTTATAATGAAAGATTCAATCACATCTTACCAAAAACAAAGGAGGGCACTAGCTAGTGCATGAAGCTGACTCCACTCTTCTAATTGAGGTACATAAATAGGAGGGAAAGAATGGCCCACATTCACCTCTAGTGTAAGCAGGTGCAGCCTCTCAGGCCTCCAGGGCAGTGCATTTGCTTAGCACTGAATTTGGCCCAAATAATAAAACTGCATATCATATCTTTTTAAAGGATCTGATCTGTTCCACTCAACAGCACTGATTTTCTCTCTGACCCAAAACACACATACATGTCTCCTCTAGATGTAATGGCAGAGAGTTCCTTTATTTCCTTCCTCTAGGTGCACACGTTTTGTACTTGCTCTATACTCTCACCCATCTCCTCCACCAAATAGCAGCAACATCCCCACAAATGCTATATAATAAACTACTCATTCACTATGTTCACTATTCTCTATGTTGTGTATTGGACTACAGTGTAAACTTGTTCGACTTTGTAAGAGAGTTCTTGTTCATAGGGCAATGTGACTTCTGTTCCTAAACGCACAGTTATAAATTACTTTTAAGAATGTCCCTAGAACACAAGTGATAACTGATAACTGTGGGGGTCTCTTGTATTCTGCCCTGATTTACTGTGTGACTGCAAACAGCTCACTTTATACAAGAGATTATGTATACATAGACCTAGCATAAGCAGCCCATAAGGAGACAGAAAGGAGATAAAAACTAGCACATAAAGAGAGACAAACAACACACAGTGTGTACACAGACTGAGACGACAGTGGTGAGGCTTTTAGAGACAATGTCATCATGAAAGCGGAGTTAAAGATGGTGAACCTACAATAGATACCTGTTTTTAATGCAGATGAGATAGCAAAACGTGGATAAGGGAAGAGGAATGAGGTAGGATACAGATACAGGCATACTGAGTAAAAACAATTTCTTATTCTCACAGTGGCCAGCACCATCTCCTTCAGAGAAACCAAAAAACTTCCTGCCTTCTGTGGATTTGGCATAGTCTGCCTCCCAATTAGAGAGTTAAGGGCAATTATAAGTAATAAAATATTACTAAATAATAATAAAAACATAGTTTGGGAAAAAATTAATTCAGGAAGACTGAATAGTTTGAATTGGAGAGCATAAAGAGAGGATGAAGCAACAAGACAAACCAACGCCCTGGGTGTCAGCTGGGAGTGCACAAGGGACTGAAGGGAACTCCAAGAAATCATGCTGGAGCAACAGAAAGAGTTTAAATAAAAGTAATAATGAATATAAGTGGAGAAGGGAGTTGAAAATTTCTATTTGGGACACATTAAGATGATGCCAAAGAGACAACTTATTTTTGTATTTACTAACATTAACAAACTCACTGACCCAAAGTTGTAAGAATAAAAAAAACCACCCCCAAGAGTGAGAAAGTATTAACAAAATACACAAAAATGAGAAAAATTGCCACAACTTCTTTGGATGGGATGTATCATATTCTCCACAGCTTGTCCAGAACACATTTTAATGAAGGTGTACAGAGTACATCCGTCTTTTGAGCATTTTTGATAAAATGACTGAGCAATTCTGTGTGACGTACAACATAAGCCTGAATTTTAATAAATCTGTCACACTCTGTTACCGTTAAGTACGTACGATGCTGCTACTCAAGGCCTGATGGTGAAACAGACACTTAGGAAGATAGAAACAAGATTTCTTGCATGAAAGTTCATCTCATAAAAATAAATAAATAAATAGATTCACAGCTTTCTTGCTGCCTAAGAGATGCTCCAGCAAGTAAACAATGCCAACTGAAGCAGGAAAGGGCAGAAGAAAGAAGAAAGCAAGTTTCCTGTTGAAAATCTAAGCACCTAAACACTTTGATAGTGAAAAGGCAAGAGACAGTACTCATAGTAATCTTGTACACATTCTCCTAAAATGCTGCCTTCGTGTATTAGAGTAGTTACTCCAATAAAAAGCATAGATCTAGTTTTGCCTTCTGACACATCAAGAAAATTATATTGACTGATGGAAACATTTGGTCTCAAATCAACAAATCAGCACACAAAAGCGAGGCCTTACTGTCAACAAAGCTATTAAAACATGACTAAGATACACACATCTCTTAACAGATCTATACCAAAGCAACAAACTCTTGCTCCTTTCCAGTGTTAAGTTGAGGTCATCCTGCCTAACAAACCATTTCATATAGACTCTCTCAAAAGTCTACTCTGCAGGCAACGGCAGATAACAGACAGCTGAATGACTGAATACTCTAGGTCATCCAAAAAATTAGATCAAAGAGTCCCTGTAGTCCATTGAAATGCAATTGCTTCCAAATCACATTGTGGTGTTCCAGGCTTGAAAGAATGGGTCACTGCAGTTTTATTGTAGAGAAGCTATTGCTAATGAAAGGAACAATGGAAAGATTAGTGCTACCAACCATATAGAAGAAACAACACTTTCGGTTTAATTGCAGTGAACAAAGCAAATAGGAAAGAAGGGCAACCAAGTGACAAAAGTAGTTGGCGCAAAGAGGATATAGAAGCTATTCACAAGGTTCTCTTGATCAGAGCACAGCGTCCAGACTTAACATATGATTACTGAATTTGGATCACAGTAAAAATGACGTGGTTGTCATTACAGACAGCTGACGACACATTTTTAAGAAGGCAGACTGAGAGACTAAGAACCCTGTTGATAATTTGCCTGGGATTCATTAGGTGCACTGAAATTAATAAACTGATGGGGAGAAAGGAACAATTATACTTTATTTGTGATAGCTACTCTGCAAGAGATTATTATAAGAAAAGCTTTTCTTCACTTAACATTTTAAAATAACAATTTAAGGTGAAATCTATTGAACCTTGGAACCGATTAAAGAAAGAGAGAGATTCTAATTGGTGATAATCTAGGTACTGAAAAAGGTTCTGCCATAATAAATTTGTTCATGCCACAATATTTATTCTCTTTTGATCAGCTTCTGGATCTTTTCTAAGTGAAGCTTACCAGTCATAACAACCTCTATGTCGAGACAGTGGTAAAAGATCCATTTCAGTCTCAGTTAAGATCACCACATTCTGTTCCTCTGTGACCTGAGGCAGACTTGAACCTTCCTTCTGCAGACAAGACTTGACAAGCCCAGCTTCACTCAGCTCATAAAGCATGTTAAAAACCACAACGTGACCAAACAGGGGCAATCACCCAAAGTGTAACTGTTGTGTGTAGGTAGAACATTTCTCATAGAGGAAAAGATAAAGACTGCAATAAGTGAAAACAGTTTTTTTCTGAATAAATATGGTAAAAGCTAGCAGTTGTGAAAATGGAGCTTCCACAGAAAAAACTAAGCACATCTGATATTAACAGCTCAACAAACTACAGCACTACAAACACAACTTAAAAAAAAAAACTAAAGAAAGCTTCATTCCAGTTCCTGGCACCTGCTCCAAAGTCATGTTTGCAACTGTTCAAATGAACTATAAGATACTTATTCCTCTAACTTGCTGAGGAGAAAATGCAAGCATTCAAAATATAATCCAGACCACTTCAGCCAGTTATCAGTATTCAACAGCCCTTCCTAATGAACAGTCTTCTCAAGTCACTGATTACTGTTTCAAAGGAAACACTGGGTGTCTCAAGTGCTCCTTTTCTGGTCCCGTCACACAGTTGAATAGCCCTTGTGGACAAGTACCTTTGCAAAACAGATTTCTAGAGGGTGACCCAACATATCCTCTGGACCTTAGTCGACCACAAAGCTTACAGAAAGTTGCATGCACCTCACACTATTAAATGTCACTGCTTTAATCTGCATCCGTAGGAAACTGCTTTGCAAGTGCAAGGGCTTAAGCCTAAAAACCATAACTAACTAATAATTCTGTAGATTATTCTTCTGAATCACATCAGTAAAGACTTCTCTGCAGGCAATGAGCACTGTCAAACTTATTTTGAAAAAATCATTTATGAGTAATAATTTTTCATGAACTTGGACGACAGCCATAAATGGAAAATATGCAGTGACAGTATTTAACACATTCATAAGAGATCAACTAATCACAACTTATAAATGTGAATAAGGTTGGAATTGTCAAAGGAAATGAAGGGAAACTGGTTTGTAACTCCTGCTGAGCTAGGAAATTCACCCTTCCTTAAAGCAATTGACAAAACCAGGTATAATTCTTTTTTTTCTCACAAGCTTATGGATTGATTTTGTTTTTATTCATAGTAGTTCACAAAGGCAGGAAGAGCAATTACTTAAGAGCAAGCAAAAATGTATAAACTACCACAAACTATAACAAATGAAAATTGCCATGGGATAGTTACTAGGACTACCAGCCAGTCTTCTGGTTTTTTCCTGAAAGACTGTGATCAAAAAATACAAGGGTGTGATGCTGTTCACTGTCTATAACTAAACTTCTGTTAAATGCAATAGCAACTAGTGTTACTAGGAAAAAATCACTGAAGGGTGTATGGTATCCTGAATATTAGATGAATTGCATACCTTCAGCTACTATTCCACATATGAAAATACTTTTAACGATGATTTGGTTTAAATAAACACTTACCAAGCCTACACATGTAGATATTGCTACCGAAGAGGTGCTATCATTCCTTATAAATCCCTGGTAGAAACACTGCTCAATGTCATGTTCCTGAGAATTTGAGACTCCATCTTTCCCGAGTACCTGGACAATAAAACTGTTGCTTAAAATGGTCGAAGGTTTAAGTTCTAAGTGAAGTTCCTGTCCAAATGCTGAAAATTTGTAGTGCAAGGAACTCTTTGAACTCTGAGTTGATCTCTTTCTCCTAGTACTGTGCAAAACATCATGTGAAATGTACGATCCACTGGAATCCACTTTGACAGGTGTCACAAATACATAATCTGTAAGGATAGAAAGTTAGCCATCAGCTTTTGTATCCAACAAATCAGGCAAGTGTCACTCTAACATGGTAAGCATCAGGCTTTCCCTATGGCATGAAGCATTCCCTCACCGAGGGAATGGCCCGAAAGCTCTGCAGGGTATGTGTGTACAGGCTTGACTGCATAAATTCAGCCCTGCAAGTCACACAGGCTCTCAAACAGTGTTTGTTTCCTTTCTGCCCCACTGAGAGGTACAGACTAACTAGCATAGCTGTGAACATTCCCACAATCACTCTTCTGAAGACATTTGTCATCACCAGCAGATCTGTAGATTTTCCCCTCCCCCTGTATTAATTGCTGTCAAATGTGAAGGCTGCTCTGGTTTGAGAGTTCTTTTCCTTGCTTAAGAATGCAGCAAATATTATATCACTGTAGGGGTAACCACGACTGAGACTTTGTAGAACTGTACCACTTGTTCAAATGGATTAAAGGATTAATTTATTAGTGCCTTAACGGAGTGAGACCTCATCTCTTTGTAGTGACTTGATTAGACCGGGTTTCAAATTGTAACTGACCTTCAGCAGAAAGAGATTACATCCTACCTAATAACCTTTAGTCAGCCATTGCTAATTGCATGTCAAAGAAGTTTATTGTTTTGGATGAAATATGTGAAAAATTACAAAACTGTTTGTGAGGAGAAGACTAAGATCTACTCACAGCCACCTAAGAAGTGAAAAAAATAGAGGTCATGATTCAGCGGGCGGCAGAGGCAGGTGCCCAGCTTGAAGTACATTAGCTCTGCTGTTGACTGAGCCACACAGGGATTACTTGTATCCTGGAAGCTGGGTCCAAATTTTAGCTGTTTGCTGAACAAGGACCTTTGTGCCTGTTCCTGGTGATATGAGCAATTAAGGCGAGTAGACTGATTTCCAATCCCATTGCATTTTTGAGCTGTATTCCCCTATGAATATTTAATGATGCCCATGCACTTGACAGTAGAACAACTCACTTCTCTTCCTAAATTGAAATAACACTGTTAAGAAGGAAGAAAACACTCTCCTTCTTGTATTGTAACAGATGTTGCAAAAGCTATCCATCTCTTTGCCTGAATAGACTTTATTTGACACGCATTAAGCTGAAAACATAACCAGTGATAGGTTGTTTTTCCTTAGACAGTGGAAACAATACATCAAGAACTTTCACTTTCCTCAAGTGGTGTTAATCAACGGCAGAAGCTGAGGACGCTAAGCAGGCTGTTGGCCAAAAAATGCAAGCAGCTGCTGGAGAGAGGGAATCCCCCAGTGAGCAGACGATAGGGTGCAAGAGGGTTTTCCTTTCTGCACCCTGGTGTGGTTGTCTATTGTACTTTGTTCCCACTCACACCCAATAAAAAGCATCTACTGCACTTCAAACTTCCCAAAGTCATCAGCATCTAAGTGTTAGTCTCTACAACCTGGGAACAAACAGCTCCTGAACTCTCACTCAGAGCCCTTTCTCTCCAGGCTTGTTTTCCCTTACCCGGCACTGCACAGCTTCTTCCACTCTCCCACCCAAACCTTTCCATTACTTTTGTCTCATTGCTTCCATAACAAACACAGGAGGTTTTGTTGTTGTGGCTACATGCACGTGTAAACATGGATGCGTTTACTATCTCATTCATTCGCTTCGCTGTTACATAATGTTCCTTTTAGCTTTTGCACACAGGGCTTAAGTTATTCTCCGCCCATGGTTAGCTATTTTACAGCACCCAACTTGCTTGCACTTTATGTTCCCCAAGCACTGTGGCTTCTTCCCTTTAAATGCTCAGTCCACCAAAAAAGAAAAAAAAAAAAAAGCATCCATGCAAATGTTCATATACACAGACACAGAAAGAGCTATACAAACCATGATTCAATTCACTGATGCTGTCACTGGTTAAAGTTGCTGCATGAGACATGCAACAGAGGCAGCACAGCTGAAGGGTCTGCAAGAGAACAAAAAAAAAAAAAAAAGAGA